TTCTTAGCAAAGAAACTTCCAAGGATATTTGGGATTCAATGAAGAAAAAATATCAAGGCTCAGCAAGAGTGAAGCGTGCACAGCTTCAAGCCTTAAGAAGGGATTTTGAGACTATACAAATGAGAGATGGAGAATCTGTTACCAGCTATTGTGCAAGAACTATGGGGATTGCAAACAAAATGTGATTTCATGCTGAGAAGATGGATGATGTTGCCATTGTTGAGAAGATACTGCATTCATTGTCACCAAAGTATGATTATGTTGTCTGCTCAATTGAAGAATCCAAGGATATAGATGAACTCTCACTTGATGAACTCCAGAGCTCCCTAGTGGTCCATGAACAAAAGATGAACCGAAGTTCAAATACAGATGAGCAAACTCTAAAGGCTTCTACCTTTACTCAGTTCTCAAATTATAGAGGGAGGGGTAGAGGAAGGGGAGCTCGGGGCAATAGAGATGGCAACAGGTATTTCAAAGCACATGATGATCAATTTTCGGGCAAAGGCAGAGGACGAGATCAACATTTTGACAACTCCAAGGTAGAGTGCTTCAGATGTCATAAATTTGGACATCTGAATGTTATACTAAGTTGCCTAATGACAAAGAAAAGGAAGAGCAATCGAATTTTACCTAAAAGAAGGAAATGAAAACTCTATTGATGGCTGCTCAAGCTGATCAGGAATCTGAGTCTGATGTTTGGTATGTAGATACGGGCTTGCAGTAACCACATGTGTGGAAGTAAGTCTTCTTTTTATTATTTAAATGAAGGGTATCATTCTACAGTAAGTTTTGGTGATTGTTCCACTATGAGGGTGATGGGAAAGGGTGATATTGAGATAAGAACCAAGAATGGTTTTGTAGAAATAATTTTTAATGTCCTTTATGTTCCTGACTTGAAAAGCAATTTGTTAAGTGCTGGTCAATTGCAAAAAAAAGGTTATGTAATCACTATTTAAAAGGGTGTTTGTGAGATTTATGATCCTACTAGAGGAGCTATTGCTGTTGTGCAAATGAGTTCAAACATATTATTTCCATTGAAGATTGATAGTGTGCAATCTTGTTTAGGAGCTGAAGTAAAAGATCCTTCTTGGTTGTGGCATTTTCGTTATGGCCACTTGAGTTTTGGTGGATTGAAGACCCTCCAACAGAAAAATATGGTGACAGGTCTCCCTCAGATTAGTATTCCTTCCCAAGTTTGTGAAGAATGTGTTGTTAGCAAACAACATCGTTCTCAATTCTCCCGAGGGAAGTCATGGAGAGCAAAAAATGTCTTGGAGCTGGTTCATTCAGACATTTGTGGACCAATAAATCCATCTTCAAATGGGGGTAAAAGATATTTAATTACTTTCATTAATGACTATACTCGAAAAACTTGGGTTTATTTTTTACAGGAGAAATCAGAAGCTTTTAGTGCATTTAAAAGTTTCAAGGCACGTGTGGAGAATGAAGTAGAAAGAGTCATTAAAACTCTTCGCACTGATCATGGGGGAGAATATTGCTCAAAGGAATTTGATGCTTTTTGTGATGAACAGGGTATTTGAAGGGAACTTACAGCTGCTTACAAACAATAACAAAATGGTGTATCAGAGAGGAAAAATAGAACCATCCTCAATATGGTGAGAAGCTTGCTGGTAAGAGGACAAATTCCAAAAAATTTCTGGCCTGAAGCAGTAAATTGGAGTATTCACATCTTGAACAGAAGTCCTACATTTGATGTTCAAAATATGACGCCAGAGGAGGCTTGGAGTGGAAGGACCAGTTGTAGATTATTTAAAAATTTTTGGCTGCATCACTTATGCACATATCCCGGATGAGAAAAGGAAGAAACTTGATTATAAGGGGGAAAAGTGTGTTTTTCATGGTATTAGTCAAGCATCCAAAGCGTATAAATTGTTTAAGTAGGTAGCAGCCTACTCAAGTTCTTTTTGACAATGATTCTGAAAGCGAGCCAACTCCAGCAACTTTTATGCCTGAAAATTCATCAGAAGCAACTCCAAAAGCTACTGAAATTTTGCCAACAGCAGCAGAAGCTATTGATGCAGCAGCTCAATCTCTTCCTCGTATTCGAAAAAGGCCCGCATGGATGGAAGATTATAAGTAACTAAAATTGAAGATCCAATCACTCACTTTGCTTTATTTTCAGATTGTGATCCTACAACCTTTGAAAGTACTGTCAAAGAAGCAAAATGGAGGGAGGCGATGGATGATGAAATTGATGCCATTGAAAGAAATGATACTTGGGAGCTGACTGATCTTCCGAAGGGGTACAAAACCATTGGTGTAAAGTGGTTCTTCAAAACAAAACTAAAGGAAAATGGTGAAGTTGATAAGTATAAGGCGCGTTTGGTAGCTAAGGGATATAAGCAGGAATATGTGTAACGACCCGACCTCTCACTGGAGCTGTTATCTTACGTACTGTCCGCTTTGGGAGAGCCTAAGTAAGTACCCGCCCTCACACGGAGCCATTATCTTAAGTACTGTCTGCTCTG